TACCAATTTGACTAAAAATTTTGAATGACCCAGTAAGAACTCTGAGACACGAATGAGATGCTACTGTGGAAAACATGAAGCAAGAAAAGTTAAGTTTGAAACATTTAGAAATTTGAAAGGGCAACAAGAACCTTTAAACACGCAACTTCCAGCAACTAGGCCTCCATTTTACACCCAGTTTACATACGCATAAGTAAATATACTACCCAAGAAGTTTAAAATTATAACTATAGCTTGTAGAAAACTTGTGATTTCATCCCATAGTAACAGAGGTGGAGTTCATTTGCTTAACTCCTCCCCACTTCTGTTATCCTACAATAAATTTATGAAATTTCATTATGACCTAGCAATCAGAATGACACTGTTTTAACTACTCACATAATTTCACAATGCAGAAGTAATTGATATATGAGAAAAATGTAGTGCCAACTTAATCTTTGAATTTCAAGAAAATGCAGAATAACTGACAGATTCTAGGGAACTGTTTTCAAAATCCTCATTCTGACTAGTTCGTTTAGTCTTAAGCCCTCTCCCACTACTATGAGTCATGTACATATAAAATTACACACACATGTATGTACACACGTGAGCATGTATACAGTTTATAGCTTACATAATTGCTAGTAATTCATTAAGTACTACCCTATAATATTTTGTCATCTTCAGTTTCTAAGAGGAAAAAAGGCTCAATTTCCATCTGGATGTAAACACAGTATGTATATAAAGCTTCCTTTCCTGTTACAATGAAAAATTAATTAACAAGGTAGTAAAAAGAGCTCCTATTACAGGTCTGATATATATCTATTCAGAAGCCGCTTCATATTAGCTTATAACTTTCAAGTCTAGTGAGAATGCACATTTTCCAAACTAGATCCAATTCTTTTACTTGGAAATGAAAAGGATTAAAGCTCTGCATTATAAGCTGATAAACTGAAGGGCAGGCTATGTGTACTTACAAGCTCCACAGATCCGTAATGCTTTCTGCTAAACTCTCCGCGTCTGCAACCCAGATCTTCAGAGACAGAGCTGGAATGGAAACGCTTCATCAGTGTACACGAGTCAACCAGCCTTACATTTCCCGCAATGCCATACCCTGCCATTAAAAAAAAAAAATCATTTCTGCTGAACAGGGTTCACCGCACATTAACTCATTGATGCAGGGAACACTTCTTACAGCACAATCTCCAGCAGCCATCGCAGTCTGGCTTTCACATTAGTCCCAAAGCAAATGTCCATGTCCTGACTGGGAGCAAAAAAGCTATGATTAAATGAAATACAAAGGCATGACGCAATCAGAGTTCCAAAGAAGGTGGTGGCTCATAACCATGTTCAAAAAGTAAACTTAACGCCTCAAAGAGGACAACTGCACTATACAACTCTGTAAGACCACAGGTTGCTACTGATTTTTTCAGTCTTTTTTCAGCCTACACACAATGAGAAAAGAGACCAGTACTTTAATTTAAGAGCATGAGGAAACAACTGCATTTCAGAGGTTTCTCTCCACCACCTTAACAAAGACAGCAAACAAAAGTAAATCCTAGAACACCGAGTTCAAAATCCACCTGCATTACCACCTCATACAATTGTATCACTTTACTCACCACCTCTTCATAAACTAGTTCCACCAACCTGAAGACAGACTGCCTTGCCACAAACCACACCCTTTTGTATCAAAAGCATTTTTCTGACAGCCCTCTGAATAATTCATAAAACAGGAGTATATCTGAGCTAAAGATTAAAGCAAAACTCCTTTAATATCAACATTCTCATTTGTGTCCCAATTCAAACTACCTAAAACGTACCTAAACTTCAAACACACTAGCAGTCCCTTTAAAAATCAGAATTATATCCAAGAGCAAATCTCTGCTTCTTCTCAACCTAACTACTCTATATCACATGTCACCTGCTTCATATCTTGTAATTAAAGCAGAATCTCACACCAACATAAATGCTACAGAGACAACTTCATAGAAATTAGGCATCTGAGCTTCAGTTTAGGCACAGGTAAGATTCACATTATCACGCTATTTGCGTAAGCGCATACACTCCCTAATGAATTCTTGTGCCTGCATATCTCTTTGGCTCTCCGTTCTCGGTGCCCACCAAGATTTGTACTCAACTCTCTGACATATCACATCCATTAATTTAAACAATACACTGTGATTAAAATCAACTGTTCATATTAATTTTCTTCATTGAATTATATCCTTCCTCAGTCCTAATTTACATAAGAAAAATGGCTGCTCGAGTTATGACACTTTTAGAGTAGTTTTCATCTTATTAAGATGAACTGCCGGCACTGAGGAAGTTAGTTCATCAGTGCTTCACATTAATTTGGCTTAATAATTTAAAATTTACTTACATTGCAAAGTATTTAAACACAGATGCACCTTTATTCATATGAACATAACTAACCGGCTTACATGCATTTGTACAGCATCTACACAGTATATACACCTCCCTTTCCCATTTTTCTGGAAACATAGGTGCAGTTGTATAAATGAACAGTAATGATGAAGAGGAGAGAGGACTAGCTTCCCGTTCAAAAAGAAGCTCCTACAAAACAGTCCTGAAAGTTCAACAATGAAGCACAACCAAACGCATTTGCTAGTCTAAACCCAGACGTTTTTTGGATCCCAGTGTCAAATCACAAGTTTTGTCTTGCTCGACACTGGAAAGCATTTTACTTGGGGGTCGGGAGGGTAGTGGCAGAAGGGGGTGAGTTTGCAGACTGCACCTGTGCGATCAGAAGGATATAGCCTGCACGCCCCTTGGGCTTGCCATTCTCCTTGCCATCTATATGTTGTTTACTAGTCAGTATCGGTCCATCTGTTTTCACTTAAGAAAGAGTCACAAGCACTAACGCAGTCGGCAGCCGTGTAATTCTACTGATATCCCAGTGCTATCTGCTTGCAACGCTGAATACGCTGCGAAACCGACTCTGGAGACGCTCGCCCGACTCCACCCACGCCACCTGCAGCAGCCCGAGGGAGACGGCTGCAGCGCGGGGGCTCCTGCTGCTCCGCGAGCCCGAGGGCCAGCCGCCCCACACCGCGGGAGCGTCCAGCGCCGCTCGTCCGGGTGGCCCCTCCAGCTCCCGGTCCGCGGAAGCAAAGCACCGCCTCCCACTCCGCCATCGGCGGTCGGCAGCACGCCGCGCCCCGCCCCACCCGAGCTTAGCCCCCGCCACCGGTACCGCTGAGTGAGGCCGAGGAACCGGGTGGACGCCCCTTCCGTGCTGCTCAGCTCCATGCGGGCGGCCAGACGGAGGCTTCACCCCTCCAGCGTCGCTCCCGCCGCTCCGTCCCGCGCGGGAGAGGCGCCGGGAGCTCCCCGCGCACATCCCGCTACCCGCGCACGGCCCCGCGCGGCCTCCCCGGCCCGCCAGCCACTCATAGGCCGCGTCGGCCGCCGCGTCGGCCGCTGCGCCCTCAGCAGAGCTGCCGGGAGTTGTAGTTTCGGGCTGAGAGCCACCGGTCCGTCCTCCGCCGCCGGGAGCTGCGGTTCTGTGAGGGGGTCAAACGGGGAGGAAATGTGGTACTTCTGCACTTCCTGCTTGGTTTAAAAACTGCAACAGAAGATGAAATGGTTGCTGATCTCATGGTGAATATTCTCAAAGTGTGCCCAGATTTATTGAACAGATACTTCAAGGAGACCCAGTATTCCTTTGTTCCTAGAGTGAAGTCTGCTTGGATGGACGACATGAAGTTACTTAAGAAGGTAAGAGTGTGGGTGATGGTAAAAACCCATGCTCAGAGCAGGAGGCTCTATAAACATTTAAACTTAACTGGTAAAGGAGGAATTGGTCTAAGAAACAGTGGAAAACATCGTATCAGGGACATATTTTTTGAGATGCAGCAACATCAAAGCTCAACTAGAAAAGCCTTTTGCCCTTTGTGAGTGTTCCACTGCCTCTTTGTTTAGCTTAAAGTGGGCAAGTAGGATCTGGAATCTCTTGAAATGGGATGGCCTTTAGCAGGGATGCTGAGAGAAAACACAACGGCAGCCCAGCAGAGAAGAGGGAAGGTGATGTCTCCACTGTGAAGGCAGTGACCGAGACAGAAGTTGCTGAACAGCATGGTAGGCAAAGCAGATGGAGTTAAGAAACCCTCTTCCCACCCTTAACTTCAGCAGAATCCAGATCTCACTTGTGTATTTACTGCTCACCTTTTCTTTGTTCAGTTCTTCAGGCCATTAGAATTGCCTGAGTTCAACATACAGGCTGCCGCTGCTACTCGAAGATTAACCAGTTTGACTTGGCTGTGCCAGGATCACAGAATGGTTAGGCTGGAAGGGATCTCTGTAAATCATCTTGCCTTATACCTCTGCCTAAACCTGGTTACCCAGGTCCGCATTCACACAGCTTTTGAACATCTCCAAGAATGGAGACTCCAGAACCCTTTTGGGTAACCTGTGTGGGTGCTCAAGTCAAAAAGTGTTTCCTGATGCTCGGAAGTGTTCCTGTGTTTTTGTGCCCAGTGCCTGTGCTCCTGCCACCAGCTGCTTCTGGGAGGAGCTTGGCACCATTGTCTTTGCACTCACTCAGGTGCTCATAAGCATTGATAAGATGCCCCTGAGCCTTCTCTTCAGTTTGAACAGTCCCAGCTGTCCCAGCCATTTCTCACAGGAGAGATGTTCCAGTCCCTTCACCATTTTTGTGAGCCTTTCTTGGACTCTTCCCCAGTGTCTCCATTTGTTTTTGAATGTGCCCCTGAGGGTAGTTGAGCATGGCAGTCCAGACCTGCAAACAGGCAGTGCCAGAGCAAGAGCCTTTGAAATGTAAACCAGGACGTATTTATTCAATTGAATCATGACTGTGTGCTGCGCCCAGGTCCTTTGTACAAATTGTGTACGGGGAAAAAACAGAACTGTGTGGAATTTTGGGGGGGGGGGTTAAATAAAAATGAAATGCAAATGAGGGAATTGCTTGTCCTAAAGGAGCCATCATCTCTGTCCTGAGAGTTAAAATTATATTTCTTTCAAGACCCACAAGCCAATGTTCACCCAAGGGTTAAATGTAAGATCATAGTAGTATTTCAGTGACTTTTCTGTCCTAGTTAGTACTGTTTCATTTTAGTGTGTGATCATTCAAGAAATTTCTTAAGTTGGTTAATTACTTGTGTTTTATGTTGTCTGCCTCAGCATTAATCTGGCTTGGTGAAGCACTGGAAAATTAATTAATATATGATATTAATTCCAGGTGCCTTTCACAAGCACCAGTTCTGCCACTGTCTACTAGTGTTTTAGGCTGGGAATCTGAAAATGTATGGATTCTTTACTGCTAGCTAAGATGTAGAAAATAAGTAATTCATTGACCAATTTTAACACACATTCAGAGTATGGATTCTGTGCATAGCATAACAGGAATCACTGAAATGTCATTAATTCACTTCCTTCTTTTAGTTGCCCAGCACAGAGGTGAAGCAAAGCATCCTATCACTGGTATCCATGGTGCTGAGAAGAGCCCTGAGGAACACTGAGCACTGTTTGTGTGAAGAAACCTGGCAAAGGTCACAAATCTACACACTGCCGGCAATGCAGGAGTTTGTGCAGCTCTACAGAGAAGCTGTCAGCAAGGTAGAAAGAAAGAGACAATTGGGGGCTGACAGGAGGCATTTTGCAGGCAGCAGACAGCTGCTCTCCCCTGTACTTTGTCCCTGAGCGGTTGCAGATGAGGAGCCAGGAGATGGTACCCTGGGGGAGGCTGTGGGTTAAATGGTGAGGTAGGAGCCTATGCTTCCTGACATGTCTGTCTAATGGGAATGCAGATGAAATTCTGTGGGGAGATGGATTTGCAGCATTAATGGCTGTTGTGCTGCAAATGATTTCCAAGGGCAGGAAGCAAGTTCTCTTCCTGGTTCAAGTCAATGTAGCCAGCAGAGGTTACTCAGAAGTCACTAGACAAGAGAGCACTTGAGTTGAAAATATGCCATGAGGAAGAAGAACTGAACAAATTTTTCACAGGAAGCCTTTTCAATAAAATGTTCTTTCCAGTACTTACATTAGGCAGAAGTGGAAGTACAGTGCTTGATTTACCCAGTTCTGAATCTGAACCTGGAGAGGAGAACAGGTCATTCTCTGATTGCTCACAAGGTCAATTCCAACCTTTGTGAAGAGCAGCAAATCTTCCTGTTGGGTGTTTGGGGAAGTATTTATCACAGGAGCTTTGTCTTACAAAGGAGAGCTGTTGCAATTTACCCTTTTTGCTTTTAGGTTTTACCAGACATGACTAGTGTAGTGGCTGTCTGGCAGTCCCTTCTGAAACAAGAGAGAAAACACAACGGCAGCCCAGCAGAGAAGAGGGAAGGTGATGTCTCCACTGTGAAGGCAGTGACCGAGACAGAAGTTGCTGAACAGCATGGTAGGCAAAGCAGATGGAGTTAAGAAACCCTCTTCCCACCCTTAACTTCAGCAGAATCCAGAGCATTCTGAGGTGGTAATGCTGTGTCACTTACTCCCAGTTCACTTTTTACAGCTTTATTTGCGTTGTGGTCACTAGAGAGTTCTTTTCTAATGGGAGCTGAGACTCAGGCAAACAGAGTTTATCCATGGCATTCATCCAGTTCTTCCTAACTCAGTGAGGGAGACCAAGTAAATAAGAGAAAATCAGGTGTTAAATATTTTTGCCCATATACTTTGATTGCTTTCATTAATGACTGGATGAAAAGTAGCTTTTATGGCTCCTCATGTTACAACTGAAACCTGAGATGACTTTTCCTAGGAAGTAAACAGTTGCCTTAAGTGCTATTGGTGTTTCTCTCATACTGGTATTTGTTGTCTGCCTCTTGCCAGGAGCTTACACTGAGAAAGTGTTACTCGGAAAAGGGAAGAAGGAAGTTTTTGACTGAAATAATAAATTTGCATCAAACTGTAGTGCACTGTCTCCTGGTCTTCACCAGCCAAACCTACCTGACATTAGCTCAGAGTAGTGTCCCCAGAAATCAGCAGCATGACCATATCTTTTCCTTCACTTTTCCCGTTGTTCAGCCTTAAACAGCAGCGGGGACGGGTGGGATTCTTACAGCGAGTATTCAGGTCCTCAGGTTGTGTTTTATATGTGTGAGCACTTCTGGGTCTAATTAGAAATGGCAGCTCTCAATCTAAGCACTGAATAAGCAGATTTAGTTTTGAAAGTATTCATACAAGAATGCTGGGGAATGAAACTGGAGATTCCACAGGTGTTTTTCTCATTCTTCTTGTCGGGAAGATAGCACGTCATTGCCTAGGCAAATCTCCTGTTATTATACAGTTATTAATTCTCATGCTGGGTAATGGAAGTGTGACACTGTGCACTCTTGCTATGAAAGAAGAAACTAATTACGGAAACATTTTGTTCAGGTTCCGATGATGCTGAGACGCTGCTTCTGAAAGCTGCACTGCTTCAGGTCATGTGTCTTTATCAGAAGGTTGTGCCCCACATGGTAGCACAGAGCAACTTTGATTTTAGCAAGCTGATAAAAGGTATGTGATGGGTATTTGTATTTCCTCCACTATTTTCTCTGGCTGTTTACAAAGTCCACACCAGAAGGGAATGTTTGCTTTTCTGTGGAGATAAAGAATTGTTTTCTAAAAGTAGTCCATTTTAGTTTCTCCATTGTGTTGGCATTTATTGCTGTTTCTGCAGTGCTCTGGCACTGTTAAATTCCACAGCTGCTCTGCCACACCCAGCTGTCAGTACTACTTTGCACTCCAGTCTTCCTGTCTGTGTGTCATATTCTTGGAAGTGTTTGGTCTTCATGGGCTTTGAATTCTAATCTTTCTGAGGAAGGTTTATCTTCAGCTCTGAAAGAAGTTTCTTCTAGCCCTGGTCAAGAATCCAATCAGTAATTATTTCCAAACTCTTATTAGGTGCAATGGTAAAGAGTTTTTGAACAGGATAATTCACAGAAATTTCAGGATGGGGATGAAGAACAGCACCTCTCAGTCTGCCAGTGTCCTCTGAAAAATCTTGTAATAGAGATTTGGCCTTGGTAGAGTCCAATAGGGACAGAGCCCTGAAGGGCAGAGAGGCCTTAGAATGCTGGATGATATCCAAGGACCACCTCCAAGCTGTGAGTTCTGAGGAGGAGGAAATTGGGGAAAAATGCCGGGAGCCTTCCAAAGATGGATAAGGAGCTGAAGAGCAAAATCACAGGAGAAAAAAAAGAAGCTTTCAGGGGGTAGAAGGGAGGACAGGTGGCTTGGGAGGAATATGGGAAAATTGTATGGGAAGCTAGAGATAGGGTTCGGAAAGCTAAGGCTCAGTTAGAACTGAGTCTGGCCAGGGATGTCAAAGACAACAGGAAGCACTTCCATAGGTGTATTGCCAACAAAAGAAGGCCCAGGGATGATGTGGACCCTCTCCAGAAGGAAAAGGGACACCTGACATCCCTGGACATGAGGAAGGCTGAGGTTGTCAATGACTTCTGCAGCTCAGCCTTCAATGGCAGCTTCAGCCAAGCTTGCCAGGTTGGGAAAGGCAAATGCCAGGACTGGGAGAGTGAAGACCCTGAGCCCACTGTCAGAGAGGATCAGGTTCAAGCCCATCTGAGGAACCTGAACGTGCTCAAGTCCATAGGATCTGATGAGATCCATCCACAGGTCCTGAGGGAGCTGACAGAGGAAGAGGCTAATCCACTACTCATCATACTTGAGAATTTGTGGCAGTCTGGTGAAGTTCCCACTGACTGGAAAAGGGGGATATACAGCCCTCATTTTTACAGAGGAGAAAGTGGAAGGCCCAAGGAACTACAGATGAGTCAGTCTCACTTCTGTGCTGGGCAAGATCGTGGAGCAGATTCTCCTAGAAATTCTGCTAAAGCACATGTAAAGCACAGAGGTGGTTGGTGACAACCAGCATGACTTCACTTAGGGCAAATCATGCCTTACAGATTTGGGAAGCTCCTCCAGTACTGCTTGTGGTACAGTCCATGCGGCCATGTACAGCTGAGACTGAGGGAGTAAGCAAAGGGTTGATTGGGCATCACCGCGCTCTGTGGGTCACCCAGGTCGGGCAGCTGTCTGTGTGTTAGGCAGGGCCTGGCATGTGTAAGGATGGGAGTTACATAAATGCCTCAATTAACCTGTAAGAGAAAAAGGGACTTTGAACAAAATCCCTCTCTAAATCACCTCTCATTCATGAGGTTTTTCCTCCCTCTATCAAAGCATGTTTAATTGATTTTTGTGCAACCACTGAATGGTGTAGTGTATGGGATTATTTCTTGCACTGCTCTGCTTACTTCAAACTGGACAAAAGGCAGGACACGTTTTTGTGAGGCAGAGATCTCTTTGTGGATCTCTTTGGTACGTTATGAAATAATAAACAGACTGGAAAATAAAGTGTCATTCTCAAACAAATGTAATGAAGTGAGCCTGAGTATTGATTTTGAAGAGAGATAATGATGGTGTAAAAGAATCATGAGACTTTGTTTCCTCAGATGTGTCAGTGTCAGAGTTCTGTTCCTCCTTCTGATCCTCATGATGGAAACATGGACACCAAAGGCACCATGTTTCTCTGCCTTGTAGCAGTATGTTCTTTAAATAGCTTGTGGGGTTTTATCATTTGGTCTTACTCTTGGAGTGCCTTAGTGGTGACTGTTTAAAATGTTTTGTTGTTTCTCTAATGTGGCCACAAAGATCCTACACAGTCTCTCAGAGAGAGACTCAAGCTGTGTCTTGATGTCCCTATGTAACTTACCTACAGGTGAGGTGTGAGCAGCTCAGGTTTTGATGGCACTGCAGGAGCTCCCTGACCTGTGACAGAATAAGGGAGCTTGTGCCTGTGCTGGTGATAACAGTGATGCAGGGAGGTACACGAGTGTCAAGTTCCTTTGGGACAAGTATTGTCATGGTGTGAGCATTAAGATTTCCTGTTGACTTTAAGTTCTGTGTTTTCCTGTCCAACCTTTGTACTGCCTGTAGGTCACAGCTTTTCAGGGCTGCTGAGACTGATAAAAGAGATTTTATATTCCCGTGCACAACCAATGGTTTCTGCTGGGCTCAGGTGATGGCGTCTCCCTCTGAGGGCTGGATTCTCACCTTGGGTTGGCCAGCCTTAGTTGCAGTACGTCTGGGGATCCCATGATATGAAGATCTTTGAATTGCCCGCTTGTCTCGCAGTTGTGTTTTAAACCCTGAAACATGAATATTCTGAGATTTCAGGAAGATGGACCAAACTGAAGTTGGTTTCTTGCTTTCACACCTCAGGTATAGTCACTGAAAAGGGCCTGCGGGAGGAGGTCCCTCCTCTTCTGCAGCACCATATCCTGAAAGTGGCTTTGGAACTTCCCGCAAATAAATTTGCGTGGTTCAAAGTACAGGTAAGCGGCTAATGCAAATTGATGTTTCCTTGGTCTGTTGTCCTCAAATCTTTCCATCTGGCATTGCCTAGTTTTAAATTAGCCCAGTCACTTTAGGAGGTAACCCTATTGTAAAGCCAACAGGAATTACATTCTTAGCAGTGGTGAAAGATCCCTTCTGATCTGAAAGGTTTTTTACAAGGGCAGTATTTTTTACCTCCATGGTGAGCACAGGAGAAGGTTCCAGTAGCTCTTTTTGTCTCTGGAGAGGAGCACAAGTGACAATGTGCTGGTTGCCTCTTGTCTGGAAAGCCTGAGGTTGCAGACCAGGGAAATGAGCCACTGATGGGAGCCATCCCACCCCTTCCCAAGGAAGATTCCAACATTTTTTAATGCTCCCCATAATTAGTGGAAACCATCAAGGCCCCAGCTCTCTCTTTTACTGCAGGCTTGTAAAATAAGAGCTCTGTCAAGAGTTTGCTTGTCATGTCAGGAGAAAGGAGTGGACCAGGCTTTGAGAGGAAGCAGAGACACCCATGGAGTGTTGTAACAGGGATAGATGTGGAATGATTGGGGAGTAAAATATGATTGATGAGGGAGGTGCTTTGTCTTGGGTCCTTGTAGTAGTTGGGGTTTCTGTTACTACTGTCTTCTTTCACTTTCCAGGAGAGCATTTTACAAGTGAGTACAATGATCCTGGCTCATTAAATGCAAAGTAGTGTAAATGATCCCATTTGTTTCTGGCCTTGGGACTTTTGGGCAGGTCTATAAAATAACATATATACCTTACATGTCAGTCTCAGTGCAGCATAGTCCTGTACAGTGTTGCTGTAGCAGAGGAATTTTAATATATTTTTCTTGTAGGACATCTCTGAGACAGAGAAGATATCTGGTGAAAAATCAGTCTTCTATTTACTGATGAAAATGTTTGTTACAAGTACCCATTCCCATCTGAAAATTTCCACCAAAAAGTTAATCATCAAGGTAAGCATTTGAATTTAAATACCAGGATATTCACTATATCACACTGGTCTGAAATTTCAGGATTGTAAATTTTTTTCTTAAAGCAGATACCTTTACTGCATGGTTGTGTGGTCAACAGTCTCCTTTCCTGTTTCTTTTGACTGGTGTTGGAATTTTCTGTCAGATAATTGGCTATTAACAAAATATTTTATAGGAATAAATGCTGTGAACTGACATCCCTGCAGCAGTTGATGAAAGAGTAAGGAAAATGTCTTTAATGTTTGCCCACCCCCCCCTTAGGCTGAATTAATTCTGGCACTGTAATAAATTAATATAATTTTTGCCTGAAAAGGTCTTGACATTGATCAAGAAGAGATTATTTTTGAGGTTTATTTTTTATCATTGTTTATTTAATCTGTACTTCAGCACTCCAGCCTTGTGTAAGCCTTAGATGGTTTGCTCTGCTCCTGAAGAATAGTCCTCTCTGCTACTGTCTGATACAAAGTCTGATGCCAGGAGTACTTTCTGTCTTAAAAATTAATTAAAATCCCCTTATGTACATTTAAATTAGTTATTTGACTTTTCAGAAAAACTACAACTCCAGAAGACACCAGAGGCTGTTGTTTTTAGCAGCTTATTAAAAGAGGACATCTTTTAGTTATCTGAGTAGGGATAAAGATTTACATTAGGAATAAATACAACCAAACTGCCAAGAGAAAATCCAGGAAGCTGTACTGGCCTTGGACAGGGCTCTTCATGCAGTGTCCTGCAGTATTTGTGGCACACAAATTTGTACCCAGCTTTGTGATTGAATCTTTGCATTTTGCTCAAATCAGAGAGTGCCATTTTAATACTCAGTCCCCCTGACCAAAGTTGCAGTGGTTGAATTGGGGTTTTCTTGCCCTTGACCCTTGCAAGGGTTTAAAGGCAGGTTCTCTTGGTCTCCCAGTAATGAATGTCTGCACCAAAACCTGCTCAGAATGTGCTGTTTTTCTGGTGGTTTTCTGGTGGTTTTTCTTTTGCCAGGTGGGAACATGGGCTGCCTTACTTGTTCTTGTGTCCACTTTCCACTTCAGTCCATTGCATTTTCTCTGAAGGGAGTGCAGGAACAGGGAGGTTAGGGCAGTTACGTCAGCAGAAAGGCTACTAAGAATAGATGGTAAGGGCTTATTTTTCTACGCAGTGCCATGTAACTGAAGGCTTGTTTTTGGATTTCACATTCTGTTCCTGCCTGTTTCTGTGAGAGCTGCAAGTGCATTTCTATTTCAAGACTCTGCCAAAAATAGTCAATTATATTAAAATGAATCCTTTTTCCTTCATTTTTTCTTTATTTAAATTAATTACCCTGTCAGATTAATGTAAGCAGCAGTTATTTTTAGAGTTGCTGGTGTTGTGCACAGAGTAAATGTAGAACAAATGTGTTGTGGTGGCTTGCTTTTATTTTGTATGTGGAGAGGAGCAAAGGCACAGATTGATCCTGTGTATTGTGGGTGCCAGAGTCAGGAAGCTGAGCAAGGTTTCCTCTCTTGTTGATGGATAGGGGCAGGGAGTTTAACCATGGTGTCACTTTGATTCCTTCCTCTCCTCTTCTCCCTCCTCCTTTCTTGCTTGTAGAGCTGGAGCACAGGGTCACTAAGTTGCTAGATTGGGTGCCTGAGGTCAGGGCCTGAATTTAGAGAGTAGGAAAATGGGAAAAATTTCTAGATATGTCAAGGCATGTCTCTTGGTTGTGGTACATCTGGGTCTACCTCACCACAACTTGCACTTCTCTCTGGACCTTGCTGTGGTCACAACCCACTGCTCATTTTCGTGACTGTTTATCCGTCTGCCTAATTGTTTTATGTGCAAGTAGCCTGATTTAGGTTTAATCTGGCAGTGATTTTCCTTTATGTTAGATCAGTAGTTTTCTAAATGTCCCCTACAGGGTATTTTGAGGCAGGTTTTTTTTCTGCCTGTGATGATATAAAGATGTACAACCCTCTGAAAGCAGTATAACCTGCTTTCCAGAAATTATAGAAGTAAGACTTTTATTGTCCACTATGCAGTTGAACTCCCCCTAGTGAGTGGGAGTAAGGCCTCTTGAACTTGAGGGGGTGAGGAGAGTGACAGATCCTTCTTTTCATCAACCTGCTTATCTTCTTTTCTTTCCCAAAAGAAGGAATCATGAAGTTACTATGCAAAAAGATCTGTATCTCTTGGGGTTTTGTACTTTAGGTGTTTTGAGGTTTTATTTACACACCTCCCCCTTTGTTTCCTGGACAGGTTTTGCGTGACAGTGGAGTGTTTGAGTACACATGGAAGGAACTTTCAATTTGGCTGGAACACTTGGATAATACAAAAGAAGACCAGAAGGAAGCAGTGATTCAGTTTTTGGAAAGGGTAACCGTGTTCAAATTAGCTGGATAAACAACGCAAAGAACAGTGTTAGTGGAAACTAGAGATTTTGTTGAGAAACCTGTCAAATACCAGTGAGTGAATTCTGAGAAAAGCATTGTTTGGGATTCTTTATACAAAGGTAGCATCGTTCTTGTCTTCAGTGGGAGGGACAGCAAAATGATTTGTGGGAAAATTAAATCCAAAAAGATCAGTTGTTATGACAGCATTGTTGGTGTGTGTTGTATGTGTGAATAGCTTTTATCTCCTCTTTAGGTGCCAAAATTATCAGACCTCAGTAAAATGTAATCTTTTAGAAGGAAGGCTGACACTTCCTGTTTACTCTTCAGGATGTTGGATGCCCAGTGCTTCATTTCCAGTGCGGTCTTCCCAGGGACTCAGTCTGTGGTAGCAATCTAGATGCCAAATTGCAGTGGACATTTATCTTTTCCATCAGTGTCCCCTGTAGAGCAGGAATCGTGGATGGAATCCTGCAGAAGTAATATGGAACTTGTCCTCCTAAAACCTGCCCAGCTTCCAACCACTTCTAGCACATGGTCTTTCTTAGCAACAGATGGTTCCCCTGCACTTGACAGCTGGTGCACTTACTTTTCTTCCCACCTTTGCTGACAGATCCTGCTGAAGCTGGTGACAAAGCCCTATCCCTACACAGACAAGGCAGCAGATGTGGTTCAGGAAGCCAGCATGCTCCAGGTTGCTATGTTTAAACAGGACTCTGATAACATCAGCATCCCTGTCTCTCACATTGATGGTATATGGTAACCCCTGAACAACAGAATTCCACAACTTGGGGCTACATTTTCTAGCCCTAATCAGCAGACTGGGGATGGATAACTATAGAAATCGTGTTATGTAAGGACCTCCAGGATTCAGCCCTCCACGTGTACTTGCTATCAGAAGTCGGAATTGCAAAGTTACCCCCAAACGTAATTTTTGATGTGGTTGTGCCACTTTAACAGTATTTGACATCTCTCTTCATGCTCTTGCAGCAGCATTTTCAAACTAAAATGGAAATTTCGTCCTTCTGCTTGGGGCTGTTCATAGAATCCTGGAATCCCAGAATGATTTGGATGGGAAGGCACCTTTTAAAGCTCATCCAGTTCCAACCCCTGCCGTGGGCAGGCACACTCTTCAGTAGCCCAGGATGCTCCAAGCCCTGTCCAGCTTGATTTTGGACACTTCCAGGGATCCCGGGGCAGCCACAGCTTCTCTGGGCAACCTGTGCTGGACAGCAGCACTGAAAGGCACAGTGAAGTACAGCTGTGGTTTTTGTGTTGCACTTAACATTGTATGGCCTGACAAATGTGGTGTTTTTTTTGGGTTTTTTTTGGTTTTTTTTTTTTAAGGAACTAAAAAGATGCCTTGTGTTCCTGGAATGTTGCATTGTACCTCTGTTGTTTTTCCAGTTAGTCTGGATCCCCTGCTTACATTTTTTCCTTCACTTATTAGATGTCCTGGATATGGTGGATGTTCTGATCGAGGGCAGTGATGGCTTCGATGAAGAAATTGGGTTCTCTTTAAATGAAGACATGATTATCCAAACATTTCCTTTCAGTGCTGTTGTCCCTGCTGCATTAGAAGCCAGGAATACAATGTTGCTTCAGTCTGAACATGGAACAGGTACAGATTTTTTTGGTTTTATGTGACATTTCTACCGGAGGAGTGAAAGTGCCATAATTTTAATCCATTTTTAATAATTTCTTACCATTTATCATTTTTTACCTTGAGAAATTTTATTATCTGCCCTGCAAGCAGAAGGAGGTGCAGATTCATGGTGTTTCATGCTCAAGAGGGGCATTGAAGTTCTGTAGGTGCTTCTGCCCTTTTTCCCTGACCCTGAAGAGAAGAGTCACTGTCCCTGCATGGACAGTCTTGGTCTGGAAGTAGTTGGCTTCAGTAACACAGTGTTTTAAGGACAGAGTGTGGAGATCAGGAGAGGAAGGTGGTTTCCATGTCTGTAGGCAGCTCTTCCCGAGATCAGGGAGAGAGGACTGCATTGTTAAGTAGGAAATGGATGCATTTTCCAAAGAAAACTTGAGAAATGAAGCTCTGGTGGCAAATACTGGAAAGTTCTACCACCTCCTTGAGGAAAGCATTAAAATCACAGGGCATCAGGTGGGCTTGGAGCAGGATTTGCCAGCCCCACAGCACCTCACTAAGTCCTCTGTGTGTATTTGCCAGTCAAGTAGCACCTGGGGTGTGTGCCCCACAGTACAAATCAGTTCTTCTCTGAGGTGGTGCTTCCTGTTAAAATATAGGAACGTTTAGCACAACACAGTGAAGGTGGATCATTTGCTTCAGCAAGAACTAATGTGTGGAGGATTTTTCAGGTACCTCAATGGTCAGGAGCACTTGTCTCGGTCACTGCAAACACTTTTTGATCTTATTCGATACTATTCTGTGTGATGCTCTGTGGGCTGCTGCCAAGGCCTGAAGTAAGGAAAGTTGCCCCAGTGTCTGTGCTCAAGTCAATAGTTTTGTTTATTTTTGCTTTTCTAGGAGCACACATTGTGGAGTACCTTGTTGCTGTTTTCACTGACCTCCTGCACTCTCAGAGAGAACCCCTTGCTCTCTGCTTCATGTTCCAGCTCTATGAGAAAGGTCTCAAGTCCCTGAAAGTTGCTAAATGTCCTCAGCTCTACCAGTTTAACAGATACCATAAACTCTGGATACCCAAGCGATCCCAGGAACCTGTGGTACAAAATACTTGAAGTCACTGAATTCTTAAACCAGTATTCTGACAAAAACCTCACAATTTATAGAGGTTACATTTCCATCAGAAACAACATTTTTATTGAGCTAATTCCGCATTTCTTGTTGATCACATCGGGACACAAATTTGCTCCAGGCCTTTTCTCTGATGGCGCAAGAGGTGTTTGTGGTGTTTGGGAGGTGATACCAGGGCTCAGGGGTCATACACAGGCTCATCACCAGGCGTAGCAGAGCGTGGTGCATGCTGTGGCCTCCATTTACCGTGCCTGGAGTTCCCCCTGGGTGGGTTGAGGATCACAGGCCCCCTGGGCTGGGTTTGGTGAATTTTTCTCAGTTCAGCAGTGAGCACTACAGATTCCCCTGGGGACACTGCTGGACAGCTCTGTTCTAGCAGGACTGCACACTTGTGCTCCTGGAGCTTCAGCCCGAGTTCAGCTCAGAGCTCATCTCAAAACAAAGGTGGCTGTTTGTTTTGTACTCATCACTGGTTTTTTTTTGGTTTTTTTGTTTTTTTTTTTTTACTTTAAACAGTTTAAAAAGCACAAGGAGGTAAGCGAAGAACCTACTGTGGCACTGGATTCTGAATTTACCATTTTGCTAAAGACAGCCTATGAGAGAGGAAGCAATACCTTACTGGAGGATGGTGTTCAGGCAAAATTGAGAGACCTGGCTTCCTGGCTCCCACCTGATCAGCTTTTGTTGGGAGTAAAGCACGTGCTGTTATACCTGAAATCCACAGTGGAGAACTTCAGCAGTGTAAGAGCAATATTGTAAAAATATTGTGGTTATATTTGGTTTATTTTAAGGTAGAAAGTACAAATGACTTAGCTGTTAAAACTTAGGTTCCAGTTCTGTAGCTCTTTTTTCTCTACTTGGCTCTGAGTCTACACAGCACCATGCAAAACTGCACCTAATTTGTAAACAAATGTCAGTTCTTCTGATTATTGAAGAGTGATGGATTTACTTTGCATGAGTTACCTTACTCATGGGTGTGAGTGCAAATAAACTCAAGATTTTAATCCAGCTCTTGAATTTCCCTGAGAGGCCTTTCCAGAGAGTAAAATTCACTAGCCTGTATAACTTCAAATGTCACAGTATAAATTAAAATCTGTCAATATTTATTTGGCAACCTGAGACTTCTCTTAGAATCAGGTTTCTACATAAGGAAGTGGCTCCTTCCCCAAGAAGAGGTTGTAATCTAAGTAGTTCTTAGTTAACTCCTATTCCTGTTGGATAATTGCCCTTCCACTCCCATTGTCCTCTTTTCTTGACTTCCAAGATGCC